TGTGTTCACTCACAGATGGCTGAGCCGGCTGCAGGTCCGTGCAGGGGTTTGGCTTCGGATTATCCTCAACATTAGTGCTTTCTCGCAACTTCTGATTCACCTGCGCAAGAAATAAACCTCAGACGACTTCAGGATCATGCAGTGCAACACATACAGATCTGAACTTGACCAGTTTGTTTCATATTCGTTTTAAAAACTGATTCCAGATCCCTTCACTGTGTTCACACAGCAGTTAAATCCGGTTTCACTCCACTTCTTCGAAAGACACTTAATATTTGGTAGTATCATTGATTTGATGGTGCTGACACTAGCAGATGAGAACAAAACTTGAGCTGAAATGAGCTGAGTAATGACACTATTGTGCTGTTAGAGCTGCTTTACTGCAGAATTTGAATTGGTCTCATATTTGATGATGTTTGCATCATTGATTCTGTTATTTTCCTGTTTTTAACTATGAAGCTGCTTTGAAAGAAATAGTATTAAGCACTGTAGAAATAAAGCTGACTTGACTTCTGACTTTTGGCCTAGCGGTTCTGCTGAGATCTAGATCTGGCTCTAGATTGAGGATCAGGAATGAACCTTGTTGATCCAGAAGAGCAGTGAGTTCTCCCAGCTCCTGCTGGACCCAAACTGATCCGTCTCCTTCGTCATCTTAACCTGACCCACGGTTTCCATTGCACTCAGTGACATCAGAGAATCAATCACGGCCAGATGGGCCCCCTGTGACCAATCAGAGAAGAGAGAGACGCCTGTCAGCCAATCAAATCAGCTGCATGCATTAGAGCAGTGAGTCTGTGTATTATTCACTCACCATGTTAATGGGTTTCTGGCTCAGCTGCGTCTCATCGACCGGCTTCTGCTGCTCCGTGTGGAGCGGGATCAGGTCGTACCGGCTGAGGAGCTGCAGCAGAGAGCCCAGGTCTCTAGGTGGCGCTGTGACGCCGGACAGAGCGTGAGAGGAAAACACTCTGCAGTACAGATCACCAGACAGCAGGAGGTGCTCCAGATCGGGAGAAACGCCTCCATCCTCCTTCACAGAAACACTCTCTACAGACACAGATCAATGCAGTGATCAAACAATTAACCACTTTGAGATTAAACTGATAAACTACAAGTTTGAGGTCAGTAACATTTAATTTTTTTAATTAACACTTCTATTCATCAATAGCTATGTTTCCGTCACCCTGTTTTTATGCGCATTTAAGTATCGCATGAGAAACGAGTGATGGAAACACCAAATTTCTGAAAAAAAATCCTTAATTTGCAAACGTTTTTAAGCTCGCTTGAGGTGGTTTTTGTCTTGTGTGAAAAAGAGTTAATGCGAATAATGGGAGATGGAAATGCATTTGCCGAATAAAGTCCTCTACGCACATCAAGGGACGGCATTACCTGACTAACCAGCGGACCGATCTCGTTGCACAGCATCTGAAAT